CGCGACACATATACGAAACAAGTATGACACATGCGCGAAACATACACGAAACATATACGAAACATATACGAAACATACACGAAACAGACACGAAACATACACGACACATACACGAAACAGATACGAAACATATATGAAACATACATGACACAGACACGAAGCATACACGACACATACACGAATCATACACGAAACACATGCGAAACGCGCACGGCGCGTCCGTGGCACAGAAGCCTCACCACACTCCTTGCACTCCTTACATCAGATTAGTTGGGCAAACAGAAGGAGGTCAGCCCTAGTAGTAGTAGTAGTAGTAGTAGTAGTAGTAGTAGTCGTAGTAGTAGTAGTCGTAGTAGTAGTAGTAGTAGTAGTAGTAGTAGTAGTAGTAGTAGTAGTAGTAGTAGTAGTAGTCGTAGTAGTAGTAGTAGTAGTAGTAGTAGTAGTAGTAGTAGTAGTAGTAGTAGTAGTAGTAGTAGTAGTAGTAGTAGTAGTAGTAGTAGTCGCAGTAGTAGTAGTAGTAGTAGTAGTAGTAGTAGTTCTAGTAGTCGTCGTAGTAGTCGTCGTAGTAGTAGTAGTAGTAGTAGAAGTAGAAGTCGTAGTCGTAGTCGTAGTCGTAGTCGTAGTTGTAGTCGTAGTAGTAGTAGTAGTAGTAGTAGTAGTAGTAGTAGTAGTAGTAGTAGTAGTAGTAGTAGTAGTAGTAGTAGGAACAGTAGCAGTAGGCGTAGTTCTAGTCGTCGTCGTCGTCGTCGTCGTCGTCGTCGTCGTTGAGCTAGTAGTACACCTTCCCACTTGATCCGGCCGCTTGCAGTTGCGAGCGGGCGCGGCGCTCCGCGCGCCCGCCAGGCGCGCCGCCCCCGCCGCTGCGCTTCGAGGTCGTGGAAGAGTTCCTCCCGGTGGACTGACCGCCCGGCCTGCCCCGGCGCCCGTCGCGCTCTGCCGGGGCCTTGGGGGCGACGGCCGCCACGCGCCGCCGCCGCGCGCGCCGTCAAGCAGTGGGGAGGCGTCCTGGCTTGCCTATAGCTTGGCATCGCTCGGACGTGTGCATCGAGGAGCATCCTTGATCATTTGGCGAAAAAGCCACGCACGAAACCGAAAAAAGCACAGGGAATGGACGTCCGAGCGATGGCCAGATAGGCCCACCAAAGAGTGTTGTAACAACCTTTTGTGGTCTGCGCGAAAAGTTCTGAAAGTGTTTCTGGCCGGGACCGTCTTGCACATATCGGGCTTGCGTTCTGAGAACATTGTTTTGGCTATCAGATCTCTTTTGGGGTTTTGGGAACATGTCGTGGCAGGCCTATAGGAATGCCTGGACGGTCGGTCCCTGCTCAACGCCGCCGTGCGCCGCCGTGTGCCGCCACTGCGTCTCGCCGCCGCGGCGTATCGACGCCGCGTGCCGCCGCAGCGGCCCGGCGGGCCTGCGCGCGCTGCCGCGCGCCGCTGCGGGTGAGCGCCGCAGCGCGCTCGAGTTGCGCTCTGCCGCGCGCTCGGGTTGCTGGAGCCGCTCGCCGCCGCGCGCCGCGCAGGACGGTCCTCGTCGCATCTGCTGCTGCTGCTCTTCCTCCTCCTCCTCCTCCTCCTCATCCTCATGCGTCCCTTTTCCCGCCCCCTCCTTCGTCCTCCTTCTCCTCCCTTCCTCCCTCTTTCCCTACCTCCGCCCTCTCGTCCATGTGGTCCTTCTCCTCCCTCCCCTGACCCTGTGCGGAAGATATCTGGCTTCCCTCCGCGACCTGTTCTTTTACAAAGGATTGGGCCGATGTGTGTGTGTGTGTTTCCGATGTGTTTGTTTGAACATCTGATTGTTTGCAGTGCTTCAAAAATTGAGTTCCCGCTGCAGCGGGGCCTCAGTTTCGGATCGGCGCTATGCTGTCTTCGTTTCGAATGGCGCTCTCGCCACAGGGTGGGCCACTCCTCTGCATCCGAGTCTGTTTTCATTGTTGTCGCCCCCTTCTGTTCCCCTCACCTGCCTTCCCTTGTTCCTCCTGCTCCTTCTACCTCTTCCACTCCAATTCCTGCTGCTGGTATTTGTCATCGTCCTTCTCCTTCCTCATCCTCCTCCAATTCGTCCTGATCATCCTCCTGCCATCCACCACCTCCTCCACCTCCCCCTCCTTCCCCTCCTCCTCCTAATTATGGACGCAGCTCCCCTTTGCTGATTTCGCACAACTGGGTCCAAGGGCCATCTTCATATTTCGCACAAGCTCCCTTTTTCCGAGTTCCATGTCGGCTACGACACGCGTCCAAGAATATAGAAACACTCAGCGCAATGGGAAGGGATGGGAGGGAGGGGTAGGATGTCAGATATGGCGCGAGTGCGCCTAGCTTGTCCTTCCCCCTCTGCTCCCTCCTGCTCTTCGTCGTCGTCCTCCTTGTCCTCCTCCTCCTCCAGTTCCCTCGTCTCTTCTCCAACTCCCTCCTCCCCCCTCCAGCTCCTCCACCTCCCTCCTCTCCCCTTCACCTGCGCCCTGCCCAAATGAGCACGGGCACACCTGTGTGCGCCTTCGCTTCGCCCCCCTCCTCTTCCTCCTCCTCCTTCTCCTGCTCGGCATCATCTGTTCGCCTTGGAACCCATCCCTTCCCGTCACACCACCAGACGTGTCGGCAGGGCGGGTTGGGCGATTCGCGTGCGCCCTCCTCATCGCACATGGTCCTGAGCCAGAACATCTCCCAAAAACACGGGTGCAGGGCGAAGTATTTTCTACAGTTGTTTTTTTTTGCTTTGGTGCCGCGCACACCCACAAACATAACAGCAACCAACAGTCATGATGATGGATGGTGTTTGGTTTGAACATGTGGTTTTCACGATAGCGCCGCGCACACTCGTTTCAAAAGCTTTGGGCAGCCATAGCGATGGAGGATGGGTGGTATTCTACAACGTGGGTTTCGTTTCGGTGCCGCAGTCATTCGGTTTTTCATCTTACGTCTTGTTCTCACACGGAAGGGTTGAGGGCGGGTCGTTTTCAAAGTCTGGCTGGGTATATGATGGTCCTCATCATCCTTGCCATTTCCCTCATTTTCCTCTCTCCTACTTCTTCCCTTTCTTTGTCCTCTTTCTCCTTCTCCTTACTCAATATGTATCCTCCTCCTTCCTCTTCACTCGCCGCCTCCACCCTCCTCCTTCCTCCTCTCCTCCTTCCCTTCTTCTTCCTTATTCCCTCCTCCCTCCCTTCTCCTTCATCCTCCCTCTTCCTCCCAGTCCTCCCCTTCTTCACTCCGTCTCCTCCTGCTTGGACTTGGAATGCTGCTCGAACTCCACCAAGACTAGTCGGCCATCAGACTTAGCGTGCACGCATCCCCCAAGCTTTCGTACAAACGTCGAGCATTCTGCCAGCGCGGCAGACTCAGACCGGAGCACAGTAGTCCAGGACTTGTGGAAAGTGCCCCCATGGCCAAAGAGCGCTTCTCCCCACTGCCCGACCTGACCTCCACGATCCGAGCCGAGGCGGCTCCTGTCCTGCCTCTCGCCCCACCGTCGGCATGAACCATCAAGCGGCGTCCTCATAAAGCTTTGCTTCTTAGTAAGGTCGATCAGACTCCGTCCATCGTGCGAGATCTCTTCTCGCGCCACGCAGCCGCACACGCCTTTCCGAGCACCAAAACAAACTGACCATGTTGTCGCAGGGACGGCGTGACTGTGTCGCAGAGCACGCGTGCGTCTACGCAAGGGGCATGCTCATATGTCGGAGGGTTCCAAGGGTTTTTTTGGGCAGAGGGTTTTCCAGGAGGGGTCCCCCAGGGGCTTCGCCCCCGCTGTTTTGACGAGGTTCCGAGGCCCCAGGGGGGCTATCTGGAAAAAACCCTCCCCCCAAAACCCCTTGGGAACCCTCAGTATATGTTGTTCTCAGAGGAGGTTGGCAGTCCACGACAAACAAGACTCGCCTCGGTGCTGCGCCCCAATTGCAATCAAACTCCGGCCCGTTCGCGGCATGGGGCCCTGGACAGTCACCATGAACACGTTCTCGAAGCTCGCGACGTTTTCCATCTGGCGCCATCGCTGCCTCCGCGCACGGCTTGCGCGGCAGGGGCGGCAAATCCCCGCGAGTACAGACTTCTCTGGCGAAGAACTTGGAATTTGTCATCTACTCCCGTGCATGGCGGAATTTGTAGCGGAAATCTCTCGATTCCACGCCAAATGCCAAAACGGCCTCCCACTCGGTGGCGGGGGCCGCGTTGAACAGACCCAAGTCTCGGCGGAAGCGCCAAGGTACCTGCTGTGTGCCTGACCACCGCTCACTATTTCTGGAGCGGTGGACCGAACGTAGATGATAATGTCCAGCTGGGAAGATCTGATGCTCCTCCCTTCATGTCTGCCAGAAGATATCGTTGAACATCTTATGGTAAAGCAGCGCCATGTGAAACGACCAGCCCATATTTCAATGATCCTCGTCGCTCGCTGATTGTACGCCATGCAACTCTCACCCGGCCTGCGTAGGCACGGTATTCTTTGTAAGAGTTTGTGTTCGCAGCGATTCCCTGCCATCAATAAAGATGAAGTTGCGTGCGACTAGCTTGCCCCATGTGCGAACGAAGCTGCAGGCCCCGAGCATCAAGCCCGAAACTCCTCGAGATTTGCGGCCACACCGAGGCCCAACAAATCCGCCGTTTGGGCTCAAAAGGAAGCTTCATCCATCAGCTGTCGATGGTCGAAGCTGCAGAAGCTCGAACCACGCCGATCGAGGAGAACACCCACCACTTCCGTGTGCTCTACCAGTTTGAGAGTGACAGCGGCGTTGCCGGGAACGCTCAGGCCCACGTCCCCGGTCTCATCAGCGTCACGCCCCTCCATCTTCCCTTCTCACTTATACTTCCTCCAGCAGCCCTCCTCAATCCTCGATCCTGATTCCTCCGCCGCCCGTCCTGCATCCTCCTCCCTCCTTCCCTGTCCTCCTCCTCCTCCTCCTCCTCCTCCTCCTCCTCCTCTGTGCCAGCCCAGCCTGGATCTCCCTGCTGCACTGGCCGCTCTCCGCCGTTCCGCGCTGCCGTCGCGCGGTCCGTCCCGCCGCAGCTTTTTGTTCGCGGCTCCAGGGGGTACGCTGGTAGACTCTTTCGCGTCCCTTCACGATGGGGCAGTTTTCGAGCCATGCTTTTGTTCTAGGGTGGGAGGGGTCTTGTCAGGGTGTCGCAGACGTGGGCCTCTCTCTTCGCCTCGTTCGCCGTTCTTCTCCGGGCCATCAGCTGTGCCTGCCGTGCCTGTTTCTGCGTCGTTTTCTATTTTCATCGTCGCGCTAATGTTGGTCGCTGTTGCCAGTGCATCTCATCGCTCTCGCTCCTGCCGTCCTGGTATGTTGTGCTTTCCCCCTGCCACATGTACGTATGCTCCAGTTCCGCATAGACTCATGGGACTACTCATGTCATGCTCGTAATAATCGCAGGCGCCTGCGGAGAACCACTGTCGCCCCCTGCCTTTTGGACGTGCCTGCGTGGCTAAACGTTGGGCCGAAGGCGTGCCAAGCTATTGAGATATCGAGATATCTCCAGCCGTTGTGGAAACCCTCGGGGACCACATGGGAGGAAGAGAGGAGGAGGAGGAGGAGGAGGAGGAGGAGGAGGAGGAGGAGAAGGATGGGACGAGGAGAGGATGCCTCTTGGGGGCCTCAAGGGTCCACCTCGGGGCTGCCAGGGTTTTCTTTGGGGGCCTGCGTTTCCTGCGACTGCATCTTGGGGGCCTCTTGGTGCCTCTTGAGGGCCTCGAAGGGTCTTGTGGCCTTCGGACGCCGTCTTGGTGTGAGCCGTCATGCTTCGCTTTAGGCCCATCTTGGAGGTCTCCGGCGCAGTCTCTATCTTGTGGGCCTCTGGGGCCGTCTTGGGTCCCTCCTGGCCCGTTCTGGGGCCCTCTTGAGAGCCGAACTTGTGCAAACACCAACGGCAACCACTGTTTTTGTGTGGCCTCCTGAGGGCCTTGTAGATCCTCTTGACGTAACCTGGAGCTTGTCAGGAACATCTTGGGCCGTCTTGGGTCCATCTTGAGCCGTCTTGGAGGCATCCTGGGGCCACCTTGGGCTCTCTTGAGGTCATCTTGGACGTCTTGGATGCGTTTTGGGACCGTCTCGGATAAGAATGTCTCAGGCGAAACGCCTGTTTGGGGCCATTGGGACATTTATTTTCCGGTGGGCCACTGGGTTACCACCCAGCACTCCAACAACCTCTTTTCCAAGCAACAGGGGGCGGTTGATCGAAGACGCCTACGGCGAATCACCGACCCCTGCCATTCTGGAACTGCCGATATGACCAAACGTTGGGCCGAAGCTTGGCCAAGCTAATGGACTATGTTTTGCCCAGCTGTTGTGGAACCCCCTGGGGGGGAACACTTGGCTCAATCAGAGAGGAGGAGGAGGAGGGGGAGGAGGAGGAGGAGGAGGAGGAGGAGGAGGAGGAGGAGGAGGAGGAGGAGGGGGAGGAGGAGGAGGAAGAAGAGGAGGAGTTGGATGCGGAGGAGTTACGGGAGTTACGGTCCTGCGCACCGGGATGCGTCCGCCACGCGCGAAAAATGATGTTCCGGGCGCTTTGGCCACATGGAGGAGGCGTTCGCGGGCGAACGCCAGGCCTTCTTCCTGGACCCTCGGTTTCCGAGGCAGGCTGCGGGCGGCGACAGGGCGGGCCTGCTGCGCAGTGCAAGAGCCGCGACCGTGACGACGACGCTGAGGTTGTGTTCCCTTTTACAGTCGGGGCCCTGAAGAAGGAACCCTTTTCGTTGGGGAGGGGCTCCGTGTTCAGGTTTTCGATACGAAATCGAAGTTCAACTTATGGAAAATAGGGGCCTCGTTTCTTATTTAGGGTTCCTTAGGTCAACGCCTCGACTGTATTATTCCACCACTCTAGACTCGTTCTGGCATGCCCAACACGAACATACCCGAGACGTGCAGCATAGCCCAAACGACCACTCTAGACTCGTTTAGGCACATGCTCGAAACTGCTAGTACATGGGGTGCCAGCGTACACTTCTTACGCACGCCTGGCGACCCCACACGCCCGCCTTACGAACCCAGGCCGAGTTTGGGCTCCCAGAGTCATGAAACAGTCAGTTGGGACTTCAGGGGGGGGCAACTTCAGGGAGGCCAGCGTCAGGGGCAGCGTCAGGGGGGCAGGGGGTGATGGGCTGTGCATATCTCCTGGAGTATCGACATGGGTACGGAGAGAATGGTGACGAAGACCAACAGCAGCTCCTGTCCATTTCGGTCCGCGGAGCACCGTACCGCGCTGGCTCCTCCCGAGGCATCCTCGATCCTCGACCCATGAATGGTGCGGTGCATCGTTTTTGTCGCCCCTCAAGCCGAGAGACTGTGCACGGTACCGCGTTGGAGCGGGGCTGGAAGGGAGTCCACACATGGGTATGGTGCATGGGCGCCGTTCTCGCATTTGAGCAGGACTTGCGGTCGGAGTCGCCGCGGACGTCGGCTTCCCAGGGCCGCCCACGATCAGATCCGATGCGATTCGATTCGCCAGCTGGGGCCGCGATTCCGATCGATGCGATCTGGCCCTCTTCACTGGCACATCGGCCAGGGCCAGCCGAAGCGGGGCGCCGCGATTCGAAACGAGTCCGAGTTCGGAAGGTTCGCTGGCGATCCGCTCCGCTCTTGCTCCGATCCGGTCTCGCGGTCCGGAGCAAAAGTTCTTTTACTCGAGCACATAACGCGCGTTATGTGGCCTCCAACCCACCCGCCCACCCAGTAGATACCGTAACGCCCTCCGCTTCACCCCCCCGTTGCAGCAGCGCCTGCTGTCTTGCGCGCAGGTATGCCGTTCGTATTGCGCGCGCAGCGAGTTACGTGGTGTGCCAGCGGACCCACTCAGACACCCAGCCACAGAACGCGTGGGAGTTACCTGTTATGTGATGGGCGGCCTGTTTCCCACCACCACCATGAGTTGGAGGGGGGAAGGAGGTGGAGGATGAGGACGAAGAGGACGAAGAGGAGGAGGAGGAGGAGGAGGAGGAGGAGGAGGAGGAGGAGGAGGAGGAGGAGGAGGACCCCCTCCCCCTCCTCAGGGTGGTGCCGGTGGCAAGTAAGCCCGCCAAGGGAGGTGCGGCGCCGCAGCCGGCCCCGCGCCGCCCTCCCTGGCGAGCGGCGCGGGCAGCGCGGGCCGCCCAGCGCCGGCGTCGAGGCTCCGCGCGGCAGCGCCGCGGCAGCGCGGGCCGCCGCCGCCTCTCGGAGCGGACGGCAGGGGTCCTTCTCCTCCTCCTCCTCCTCCTCCTCCTCCTCCTCCATCGCGTCCTCCTCCTCCTTGCCCTCCTTGCCCTCCTTGCCCTCCTCCTCCGCCTCCTCCTCCTCCTCCTCCTCCCGCTCCTCCTCCCCCCCTCCCTACCTCCCCTTCCTCCTCCTCCCCCTCCTCCTCTCCTCCTTCTCCTCTTCCTCCTCCTCCTCCTCCTCCTCCTCCTTCTCTCATCCTCCTCGTCATCCGCGGACGACTCGTGTGCACTGTGCCGGTTTGGCCTCTCCCGAGACGAAGTCGATCTCCGACCCAGGAACGGTACTCAGAGGAGGAAGAGGTACCCATACCGCTACCCTCCACCCGTTGTCCCCTTTTTGGGCCTCCCGGGCCTTCGTCGTCGCCACCGCTGGATTCGCCCCGGAATCCTGGTCAGAAGACAGCCTGGGAGAGGTCCGGGGAGTGGCGGTGTCGGTACCCGTCGGTTTATCTCCCGAGGCAGAGTCGGTCCTCGACCCAGGAGCGGCACGGCGCACGGTATCTCGGCCGTCGGGGCCGCGCCACGGTGCACCGCACCGCGTCGAGGCGGGGCCTGGATGGGAGTCCCAGCGCGCCTCACGGTGCACGGGCGCCGTGCTCGTGAAGGGGGGAGTCGCCATGGACCTGGCCGCGTGTCCCTTGCACTTGGCGCGAAAAGAGGCAACTGGTTACGCAATGAGAGTCCCAGAGAAAAGCAAGGGGTAGGAAGGAGCAGGAGGAAGGAGTAACCCTTGGCGGAGGATAGGATGAGGTACTGTGATAATCGCCATTTCGCGCTGATGCTCTCGGCTTCAGTCGGGCCTGCCCCTCTACAGGGGGAATATCCAGAAAGAGTCAACAAATAGTCCGGGGACGATTCTTTCACTATTTTTGATTATTCCAGGAGCATGTTTGGAGCATTTTCCGTTTTTCGTCCAGAATCCCCCCTGTAGGGGGACAGGCCCGACCTAATTCTAGGCCTCGCAGATGGGGTCGGAGCAGATGGGGTCGGAGGATCGCGCCTCATCGCCGATGCATCGGCGATGCGGCTCGATGTGGAGCCAGACTTTCTCCGCGCCGACACAGCCGATGCATCGCCGACGTCGCCGATGCATCGCCGATGCGTCGGCGATGCGGCGCGATCCTCTGACGCCATCTACTCGGACCCCACCTGGGAGGCCTCTGGGCACATCGCGCCAACGCGGGCAGGTGAGCCATGTAGCGAAGGTCTGGTGGGAACCCGGGTGCACACGGCCCGACGTCGCAGGCCTAGAGGTTGACACCAACACCAAGATCGGCGGTGTGCCTCCACCGAGGGAAGACGATCCCGATCTCGGTGATGGTGGCAATATTCTGGCTTCCAAGGTGACCTAAATACTAGCCGGCCGCTCTGCGGTTGATCGGGAGTTTCTGTATATAGAAGAAGGTGCGTGCGCTTGTTGGCGAGGGTGAGGATGAGGTTCCTCCTCCTCCTCCTCCTCCTCCTCCATCCTTCTCTTGCCTCCGTCTGTCCTCCTCCACCCCACAGCTCCATCATCTTCTCCTCCTCCTCCTCCTCCTCCTCCTCCTCCTCCAAGGTGACCTAAATATTACCACCAACACCGACATCTAGGATCAGAATTCCCATGTGGAGGCAAAACCCTCTGTGCTGGTGTTGGTGCCAGTTTCCAGGCCTCCGACGACTCGGGCGTGGCGTGGCCAGAGCGCTCCCGGAGCGTCCTCCGAAGCGCAAGAGCAGCTGCGCGAGCATGCCGGGCTCCTCGGAGCTGTTTCTTGCGCGGCCTCTGGGGCCAGGCCGCCGGCGCAGGAAGGCCGCATTCTGTGGGAAAAAACATTGTGGGAAAAACACACAGTGTTGAACCAAGACAAAAAACGCACACTGTGGGAACACACACACACACACACACGCACACACACACACACACGCACACACGCACACACACACACACGCACACGCACACGCACACGCACACGCACACGCACACGCACACGCACACGCACACACACACACACACACGCACACACACACACAAAGTGTTTTCGTGTGTGTTTTTTTCCCACATTGTGTGTGTGTTTTTCCCACCGTGTGTTTTTCCCACGTGTGCTGCGAGGTCTTTGGCTCCTCGAAGAGCTCTGGAACGGCCGCGGAGCCCGATGTAGCCTCCAGAGCCGCGGGATCTCACGGATCCACGATTCGTCCTGGTCCGATGTCGTCCCTGCCCTGGCTCCGTCCTGGGGGAAGAAGGAGGGGGCAGGTACGATGCGTAGAAGCCCGCAGCAGCGAATAAGAGAGAGAGAGAGAGAGAGAGAGAGAGAGTGGCGACGAGCTCGCGAGTGTGCTCGCGCGCGCCCGCTAACTCCCTCACCAGGGCTCGTTTCGATCCCCCGATTCGATTCGACTTCGATGGATTCTGATTCCGATTCGATTTGACTTGGGATTCCGATTTGGGTTCCGATTTCTTATTGGAGGCATGCTAGCCTGCCGATTTCCGCCGATTCGACTTTTTCCGACTCGGCTGCCGATTTCCACCGATTCGATTGATTACGAGTGCCGATCCGACTCATCGATTCGATTCTAGGCTCTCCTGCCTACTGGCTTCACCTGCTGGCTTCTGCGGCGACCCCAGAGCGGAAGGCGCGCCCGGGGAGACGACGTAAGGCCGCTCCTTCAGGGCGCCAGAGACGGGGGCACAGCAAACAGGGGCACGGAGAACGCCGATTTCCACGTTTGGCTATGCCCCCGTTTAGGGGGCCCTGGGCGCCGTAAGCGGGGGATACAGTAAACGGGAGTATATGGAAAAGCCTACGCCCCCGTTTAGCTGAACCCGAAGCCCCGACTCCTCACTCGAGGGCTCTAAGGGGGGGGGGCTGCCGAGATGCTGGCACTAGGGGGCGGGAGGGAGGGAGAACCTCTTCCTCCCCCCCATCCCCCCTGTACCTCCCACCCTCCTCCTCCTCCGAGGAGGAGGAGGAGGAGGAGGTGGAAGGAGGAGGAGGAGGAGGAGGAGGAGGAGGAAGAGGAGGAGGAGAAGGGCTGGGGGGTCTGAGGGGGGTCCGGGAGGCGCTGCGGCAGCCCAGGGAGGGGCGGCTGTGCGGACAGTCTCGCCGACGTCGTCGCCACGGCAGGGGGGCGAGGGGGTGGAGGGCCCGGTGGGGCGCCAAGGGGGGGCGCCCTATGGGTACGTATGGGGTATGGGTGTGTGAGTGTTGATTGTTCGTCAGGGTACGGAGAGGAAGTCCCCGTTGTGGAGCTCCTGGTGGTGGATGCAGATGCGGATGCCAAAGAAGGACAGGAGTATGGGCCCCCCAGGCGGCGCCTCCGGCGCCGCCCCTGGCGCGCTCCGCGCGCCAGGGAGCGGGGTCCAGCGCCGAACCGAGAAGTCCGCGCGGACCTCCGGGTTTTCATGTTTATGTCATTGTTCGTTTCCCTAGTGTTAAGTCGGGCCTGTCCCTCTACAGGGGGAAGTTTCAAAAATAATTAATCAAGATTCAAGGGGTGATATTTTGACCATTCTTGATTTGTTTATACGTATTTTGGGGTATTTGATATTTTTCGTCCAAAATCCGCCTGTAGGGGGACACGCCCGACCTATCCCCAGTGAGGGAGTGGAGCGTCGGGTCGGGTCGGGCGAGGGGAGTCGGGTCGGGCGAAGGGGGGAGGGGGGGGGGTGAGAGAGGGGGTACCACGAAGCCTAATTTTAGGTCGGGCGTGTTCCCCTACAGGCAGATTTTGGGCGAAAATGCAAAAAGGCCCCGAACATATCCAAACATACACTAAAAGATTCAAAACATCGTCCCCAGACTATTTCTCGACTATTTTTGATAGAGGGGCATGCCCGACCTGAGCCTAGTCGTATAGCGGGCCTCGCGGTTCGTGGAAGTTGCCGCGGAGGCCCTGCCCGCGCTCCAGGACGAGATGTTCGGTGGCAGCGCCCGCACAGGTTGTTCCCTCGGGCCGCTCCCGCCGGTCGGCGACTCGGCACGCCTGGCGCGAGGGCGAGCTCGGCTCGCGGTGTCGTTCCTGCCTGGCTCTCGCCGAGGGGGCTGCCGAGCAGCCCTCCGCAGGGCTCGTTTCGATTCCCCCGATTCGATTCGATTTCGATGGATCCCGATTCCGATTCGAGTCGACTTGGGATGCCGATTTGGGCTCCGATTTCTCAATGGAGGCCTGCTAGCCTGTCGATTTCCGCCGATTCGACTTTTCCCGGCTCGGCCGCCGATTACCGCCGATTCGATCCAATTCGATCGTCGATCCGACTTGTCGATCCGACTTTGGGGTCTCCTGCCCCCGTGGACGGGTGCCCGGGCCTGCCGCCCGTTCTGGAAAAGCTGCTTGAGGATCCCATGGGCCACCTTCTCGTCGCCTGGGCTGGGACGCTGGCTCGAGAAGCGGACACCTCGGGGCCGTCGGCGTGGTGCCGTCCCACGCCCCGTGCGCAGCGGTATTGCTTGTTGAGGACGTGGAGGGTGGTCCCGAGGGCGGGCTTCAAAGCGCGGCCGACATTGCGACAAGCCGACGAGGAAGGGGTCAGAGTTGAGTCGAGCCCGTCCCTCTACAGGAGGCATATCAAAAGGTAGTCAAGAAATAGTCGGATGACGTTTTTTTGAGCATTTGTTGGCTAGTGTTGCATATTGTTTTGTTGGGGTATGTTTGATTTGTCGCCCAAATTCCGCCTGTAGGGGGACTACATGCCCGGCCTAAGGTTAGAGGTCCTTGGGATGCTACGTCCGTGCAAGTGCCCCAATCGTCGCGTGCAGGCGCTGCTCGACAAAACCGTGCCTCTGTCGAGACCCCTAGGACCTCGAGTGCACCCTCCGTTGTTCGGACTCGTTTTACGGTTTCGGACTCGGCCCCCTCCTCCGAGCAGCGTGCTGCCAGCAGCCTCGACGGAGCGTATTCCGGTTGAAGGGGCAGGGCGCAGCTGCTCGCTCTCGGG